AAATTCAACTGATCTGTCGAAACACGGGATCTAACAAGGGACCTTTATATATTTAGTCGAACGCTCTCCTAACTGAGCAATTTCGGCACGAAAAGTATAGATATGTGAACAGAATTCCGGAAATTAAAAATTTCTCTACAAATTAAAAAAAAAGCTTGCCACCGAGAGTAGAAACAAATATCTCCTTTAAAGAAATTCAACTGTTCTGCCGAAACCTTAAGATCTTCAGTCTAGCGCTCTCCCAACTGAGATATTTCGACACGAGAAGTATAAACATGTGAACAGAATTATGGAAGTTTAAAGTTTCTCTCGAACAATTATACATTATAAAAAAAATACCACCGAGAGGAGAAACAAATATCATCCTTCAAGAAAATCAAGTGGGCTACCGAAACCCGGGATCTTTAGATCTTCAATCTAAGGCTCTCCCAACTGAGCTATTTCGGCACGAGAAGTATAGATATTGTAAGATCCACCCCCCCAGATCATTAGCGGTAACTTTTTTTCCCATGGTCACAGGACAGAGCAGGTGCCTCAGCGGGAAGCCCTCGTTAACACGCCGACAAAGAGACCCTGGAGTCTAGTCTGGCGCCTGCGGTCTGCTCTTGAGTGGACGGGATGAAAAGGGTAAATTATCTCGAGTCTGAGAAACCGCTTGCGACGAAAGGACAGGCCCGAAAAAAAGGTAAGGAGCCAATAATGGCTCGCTGAGGTGGACTCCACCTACAGAATGGATGGTGATTTGTTGGAGAGACTTTTCTGGACCGTTCCACCAGGAGGAGGACGAGGGAGTTAAAAGGAAGTGCGAGGGAAGAGAACGAGGAGATTTTTGGAAGAGATCTTCGGAAGAAGACAGCGACGAGCAAGGGCTCGATTTTCTTGGTGGTAACAAGATAGACTTGGGTCGCTGCGATCTCAAGTCCGGTCGACGGAAGACCAACTCCATTCTTTTAGGCCACTCGTAGAAGTGGGCCTGTTTTGGTTATGTGAGCACTGTATAGAACTGTAATCTTCTGTACCTGAACTGTCATTATATATGTAATAATTTCATCTTATTTAATCAAGATCAATATTCAATAAAAACTCTTGCACGCACGTGCTAGAAATAGAGAGTATTTCTTGGCTCTGGACCTTCCTCCCCAGAGTCTTTGGCTATCATAACGTTACAATATGCGAACAAAATTCCGGAAATTCAAAGTTTCCATAGGAGAATTATACACTTAGAGAAAACATGCCGCCGACTGGACAAATAAATCTCTTCCTTCATAAAATTCAACCTGTCAGACAAAACGCGGGCTTTAACCATAGGCATTTAGTTTTTCAGTCTAACGTAATCTCAACTGAACTATTTTCGCACTGGAATTGAAGATACGTGAGCAGAATTTCGGAAATTTAAAGCTTCCATTATATATTAAAAAACCATGCCACCGAGAGGAGAAAAAAATGACTTCCTTCAAGAAAATCAAATGGGCTGCCGAAACCCTGGATGGAACAAGGGACCTTTAGATCTTCAGTCTAACGCTCTCCCAACTGAGCTATTTCGGCACGAGAAGGATAGATATGAGAACAGAAATCTGAAATTTAAAATTTCTCTATATATTTAAAAAAAGCATGCAGACAAGAGGATAAAAAATTAAACGCCTAAAGAGAATTTCATCTGATCTGCCGAAACCCGGGATCGAACCAGGGACCTTTAGATCTTCATTCTAACACTCTCATAACTGAGCTATTTCGGCACGAGAAGAATAGATATGGGAACAGAATTCGAAATTTAAAATTTCTCAATATATTTTTAAAAAGCATGCAGCGAAGAGGATAAAAATTAAACTCCTAAAGAAAATTGCATCTGATCTGCCGAAACCCGGTTCAAACCAGGGACCTTTAGATCTTCAGTCTAACGCTCTCCCAACTGAGCTATTTCGGCACGAGAAGGCTAGATATGAGAACAGAATTCCGAAATTTAGAAGACTAGATATGAGAACAGAATTCCGA